TATATTAAAACGTATTTTTGCTAAAAAAGAAAATTGTGTGTATCAATCTTGTTGGCAAATATCACAAACTGACTATATATATTGGCTTATACTTAACAGCTAAGTCTAAAGTACAATTAAACTACTAAATTAAAAGTATCATTTAATTCTCGGTTACAGACCATTTGAAATCCTAATAAGTAATATGTGTACAGATTCTGTACAGATTTAGCTAAGAACAGTGTGTAGGAAGTGGATACAACCGACTGATTCCCTCCTCTGTTCAACAATTCTCAATTATGGATGGCTATGCTGTAAGGGTCCCTAACCTGGCAATTTACCCATGTGTCATATAAGGTAACATTTTTAATGTAACTTTCTTTTATTTCTTGCCGGTATATCACCACATGATGATCAACTTATGCTGTATCACTCACTAATGTAGCAAAGTAAGTGACTCAGTCAGAGAGGTTGAATGCATTCACATTTCCACATTTAATATCATAAACAAGAAATCAAGAAATATTACAATCTTTTCCTACAGTTCATAAATGCTTTAACAATATAAGTGCTAACAGAATAAATACAGATCAAAAACTGACCAGTCATTCATACTATTAAGTTGAAAGATAAACTGAAACAAACACACATACGTAAACAATGTAGTTTCACTAAATGTTACAAAGTTCTCTTCATAAAAGTAGTGCTCTAATTCAAGCAGTTCATCATCAAGCAGCAGAAGAAGAGTATATTTTACTTCATATATTAGCAGTTTATCATCAAAGGAGCAGAAGAAAAGTATATTTTACTGCATATATTAGCAGTTCATCATCAAAGGAGCAGAAGTCCTTGCCTTGATGATGAACTGCTAATATATGAAGTAAAATATACTCTTCTTCTGCTCCTTTGATGATGAACTGCTAATATATGAAGTAAAATATACTCTTATTCTATTTCTTTGATGATGAACTGCTAACATGTGAAGTAAAATATACTCTTCTTCTACTCCTTTGATGATGAACTGCTAACGTGTGAATTAAAATGTATTCTTCTTCCTTGCCTTGATGATGAACTGCTAACATGTGAAGTAAAATATACTCTTCCTCTGCACCTTTGATGATGAACTGCTAATATATGAAGTAAAATATACTCTTAGAAGAGTATATTTTACTTCATATATTAGCAGTTCATCATCAAAGGAGTAGAAGAAGAGTATATTTTATTGCATATATTAGCAGTTCATCATCAAAGGAGCAGAAGATGAGTATATTTTACTTCATATATTAGCAGTTCATCATCAAGGCAAGAAAGAAGAGTATATTCAGGAAGTTGTACCTCTCAATGTACAATATACTTCATACACTGTAGGAAGTGTTAAAATAACTTAAATGAAGAAATTAATGTTTCTAGTATCATAACAATGATCATAGACTACGATTTAAAAGTCACACAGATGCATTGTAAGACAGTTCTTTGCCAATTTTTAATGCATTATAACATTGAAAGATATAGATTATATTGTTTTTTCAACTTAACAGTTGTGCCACTGTAATACTTATGTGTAAGCGATAACTTTATTGTAAGGAAGTTGAAAAAATAAAATTGAGTGTTACAATTTAGGTTAACTGCATGGTCACTTGACATCTTTGATAATTTGCATTTTAAAGATTAATTAAAAACTAGGAAACAGAACTTTATTTCAAATTATAAAAGTTTATTTATTATGATCAAGAAACTTCAACCTTAATTCAATCTCTTTGAAGGTATGGTATATCAATTTAAACATACTATTTGAATGACTTATTGTCTTAAAAGCATGAATGTATTTTTACTTATTATTAAAGCTAGCAATTTCTTGTATGTCAAGTACTACATACAAATCAGAGGTCTGTAAGAGGAAATTGCTGTATGCAAGATTAATCAATGATTTATTTTAGCAATTTAGCCATGTTGGCCAAATATGACATTTCCAAGTAGTTCTTAACTGCTTGTGAAGTTGATTAATAAATTGTCAAAAAAATGTTCTACCTTTATAACAGACAGTGTGTGTGCAAATAAGTAAATATTTAAATGTTTGTCATTTTCTAATTTAGTTTTTTAAAAAATGTAATAATAATAAACTACAAAACAAATTTGACTAAATATTACTTCATATAAAAGATACTTAACTGCATAGGAAAAATAATTGAACTAATTTTGATAGGATGGGGTTTCAAGAGGTGCTATGAGATTGACTATTGGCATACAGGATCTTATACAAAAATTTTAAATGTCTTAATTACAATATCACAGAACATCAAGTTCTGTTTGATATTTTCAAACAAGATGAATGATTCTAAAACTTCTAACTTTATGAATGGTAGCACTACACTAAAATAACTGATATTATCTATATTCATTAAAAAGTTACAAAATGATTTAGTTTTGTACAACCATAAAACTTCAACCAATGTAGAACTAGTAATTTGCAGAATACTATTACTCAAAAACATTAATGTAATTATTCCATTTCCTGATGCATGGCTTCTAAAATATTGCATTCAAATGTAAATTTATAGCTTCAGTTCAATTGATATTTCATTTAGAATTTAAAGCACCTTAGAAATTACCAATAAAAGACTTGTACTTACATCACAAATCATATGGTTTACAGTTTATTCTGCCATACTGGGCTTACATACTGCTTACATTACATTACTGCTTACGTGAAAAATGAGAAGTTATCATCTGAGTGATGTGCAGAGAGAGAGAGATCTGTTAAGAAACTGAATAACCTTAGAGTTTCAGATTCATATCTTTTGCCAAATGCAATATTCAAACCAATCATAGCATGTAAAACTTAACCAAATATTGTATTGAATACGGAATGCTAGAAGAGAACGTTACATACAATATGGCTTCATTGAATGAAACAGGAAGTTTAGCTATGTCATGTGCAGGACCTCTTTATTTAGTATAGCCAACATGGGCATTTTCAGGATAAGCTATTTCATGTCTATATGTACAGACATGTCCAAGTATTGTGGTTGCTCATTCCTACAAGATTTGAATATGATAATATGAAATCTACCAGATTTAGCAAAATGAACCTCCTATCTCCATTGTTATTGGGAGTTTATTACAAAATTTGTTATGAAAACATTGACTGCACAGGTAATCAGAGATAAAGTTTGTCATAATATGACAATCAAAACAGATGTTCACAAAAAACACAATGAATAATACAGGGTTTTTAAATTATCATTGAAAAGTAGAATTCTCATGGCTAAGGACAACAGACTAGTGAAGCTATTTTGTTTCTTCAATGCTGGAAATGTTTTTATTTTTATATATGTTTTTAAGTGATGACATATAAAAACATTTTTAAAGACCAAAGAAGTACATTAACATAGGCAGTGAATGATCTACATATTTAGCACTTCAATGTAACTATTACAGAATATCAAACACTTACTTAAATGTCATTTATGTTTCCACTTGTCTTATAAAATGGTTAAAATTTAGTAAAACACAATGTTGAGATTTCATTATCAATCATTTGAAGAGCTTGGAACCATGATATTATGCTCAATTCCAAGCAGTTGTAATCCTTCTGTAGATAACATTACAAACTCTTTACCTAAGGTGTTGTGGACTCCTTCAGATTCTTCCTTAACTGTTTCATCTAACCTTTCTAAATTCTGTACTAACAATGCTACAACCTGTCCATCTAGCTATATGACAGAGAGAAAAACAAAGAAAAAATTAACCATACTCCTCAAAGCTCACAATGTCATACATTTTTATATAGCTACTATTTAAAATAACTGCGTCATGTTAATTTATCACAAACCTTTTGACAAGTTTAAGTATGAAATGGAAAATCCAAGTCTAACAGAAAACAAAAGGTTAAAATGTTAATGTAAATTAGTGTAGAAAATTATATGAAAAAGTATCTATGTCAAACACGGATAATAAAGACAAAATACAAAAATTAGTTTATCTTCCTGTGCACAACCAATTGAAAAATAGAAAAGAATAAAAAGACCTGCATCAAAACTCTTTTGCATCAAAATATTTAGTTTTTTATTCTAATAAGTGATTGCTCTAAAAATCAGTTTTCTAAAATTGTTTCAACTTATTGATCAATATCACCAATGCTCTTACTGTCCAGTCATTGAATAACAGAGTTAACATCAAGCTAAAAAAAAAAGCCCCACAATTACAATAACTGAAGAAAGTACTGATTATACACTTTAGTTTCATGAAAGTTCTTTTTGTTTTAAGAACAAATCTTATGTAATATAAAAACATTGAACATCATACTAAATGAAAGTTACATAAAGTTTGAATCACTAGTTCACTGTTAAACACTATGACAAAACTGTATAATAAATGTGGAGGATGCTTCTTCTTTTTTAAAAAATGGAAATATATTCAATACTAAAAAAAGACGGGCTGCAAATAGTAGGTAAACTCATGCTGCCTGTGCAATCATGGGGACTGCCTTTATTTCTCCACAAATGTTACATTTAGCAGTACTATATTTCAAAATCCAATAACTAGAATTCCAAAAGCAACTATAATGTGAATAATAGTTACTGGTGGTTTATTGTGATCACACATCAGAATTGTATTGGTTCCCCCAGAAGCTATCTGGCAAAGCTTCATTTTTGGTATTCAAAAAGTTTCCAAACATTCCTTTCAACACACACACACACGTATATATATGAACAAGTACAGATGTGGAACAAATGTAATGCTTGAAAAGTTATTATTTTCCTACACTGAAAATATATTTCTGATAGATACTTATCTCCTCTCACATAATGGCCTATTCTTGTTCAGTGCTGCCCTCTATATGCCACATTATTTTTGCATGCCACAAGCCTAAAAACAACCACCTACCCCACAATCAACATGATTCACTGCATCTTCACATGCAAATCATTATGTGACAGACAGCCCTCCACCAACAGCAGTGCAACACACCCTACTGACACATGTGACTCCCTCTATTCGATTCTATCTAACCATCACTCTGAGATTAGGTAGAAATTGAGCACCGATTTTAAGTGGGAAAGAAGGGTGGGAAATGTAACAGGAGGTAAGTACCTTTCAGAAATGTATTTTCAGGATAGGAAAATAATAACTTCTGATATGGTACCTTATTTCCACTCACATAATAGCTAGAATCCCACATTGTAAAGGTGGAGGGACTGGTGAGAGGGATATAGCTAAGCATCCTTTGAAAGTGTCCCAAGAACACCCATGGAGTGTGAACCCCTGCTGGGCAAGGAACACATGTGGGAGACCACCCCATTTCTGTATCAGATATACTCTTTGCCCAGTATGGTAGTAGGTGTCACATAAACTGATGGAAATTGGAACACATCCAATGAATCAGAGAAAAAACTGGATGGTTCTGACCCTACACCCCATTGAAATCACTGGAATTGTAGTCCAGGATAAGAACAAAAGTAGGGTTCCCAGTCAAGACATTGGAAGGTGGGGAAAGCTAAAATGGATGTGTCCCTTGTTGCAGAGTGGCTAGAGAATAACAGACAATACTCGTCAGGTCAGCTTCAATCCTAAACCAGGCAGCATCGGACATACATAATCCAACCCATGGTATGATGAAGGTCTACACTGTCTTCACCTTAAGTTGAGTAGAATGAAAGTATTCATACCAGTTTCCTAAACAGAGCACATGTGCGCAAATCCACAAACACCACCATGCATCCAGGAAACCAGACATACGAACAATATGGAGTACCAGAGGGACAACATTCGCCCCTTGCAACACTATCCTCTGGATAGGACTGCACAGAAGTTGAAGTGCATTGATGACCAGCCAACACCTCGAACAACAACAGAGCTGAGGCGAACTGAACCAGATCAGCACAACATCAACATCCAAGACCATCCACGCAGAAGTGGAGCACATGAGGCAAAAACCTGTGACCAGATTAGGATGAGGAATCATGACGAACACATATGAGGATTTACTGTGATTGGTCCAGCTTTAATCCAAAACCACTCACTGGGAATCGAAATCCAGTTGATGGTGGGACGAGGGATCCCAATTAGAGGGATGAACTGCAAAGTGGTGAATATACCTGAAGTCATGGAGCATACTATAGTGATATATATAAAAATCATCCCCCAGGTAGGACCTCAGTAAAGCTGGAAGTGAACAGATTCAAGAAGTTGCCTCATGATCCACCACCCCAATTGCAAGGAACTGGAAAGTGACAAGGACTCTCATACTCTACTAAGTAAAATTGGTGGGAGAAACACGGTGGAAAGTCAGGAGGAATGTTGACACTAGAGATAGTGCAACGAGTGATCATGAAAACTCTAATTTTGAAAAGCAGACCTCCCTGATCGAAGGGAGAGCAGGGATGGGCAGCAACCTCCTTCTGTTTTACCTATGAAAGGCATGTGAAAGTAGCAAACTATCACAAGGAAAACCTACTATTGGTCTTGTGGAACACCCCATCTCTACAGTGTACATTATTGGCCGTGGATATACATCAAGATTGGTAGGATGAGCTTCTGCCTGAAGGTAACTTCTGTGGGACATCCCATGCAACCCTCGCCAAGCTACCCCATATAACATCATCTTCTATGGCCCAACCCCAATGAGGTGGGGCATCAGGAGTAACCTGTGCAACATCATCCTTCAAACACAGAGGCTGGAGCACATTTATCACCAGCAGAACTTCCTTAGTAGCCACAGTCCACAGAATGATCAGAGCCAGGAACACACAACATCAACCTCCAGGACCCACTGCATGGAGGTAGAGCAACTGAGTCACTAGGTAGCAGATAATATACCCTTGTATGACTTGTGGTTCGCCATACAGTGCAGATTTTTGGAATGAATAGAGAAATAGCACATCTGGCCAAGCAATGTTCTACACTGAGTGGGATCCTACAGCTAAAATGGACATGCCACTGTAAGCAAAGGGAATATAGAGAAAAAAGGATAACTTGCCAAGTCACAGTCAAAACAGATGTTTGAAGAATAGCAACTGGCAGAAGGCGGTACCCTCCAACAGACGATGGAGGTGCAATGCCAGGGAAAAGAAAAGGTGCCATATCTAATGTGATTACACCTGGAACAAATTGCGGGAAGTAGAAAACAGGGAGGAATATGCTAGTTTAATAAGCTGACAAACCCAACCTTTCAGGGTGCAAGGTGAAAGGCCATATAAGAAGGAAAGGTTCCAGAGAATGAAAGAGCAGGATCAGGATGAAAAACTGACGCACCCATGGAGGAAGGAACAGGCAAAGGATGAGAAACAGGTAAAGAAGATGGTATGGTAGCTGGCTGAGATAAACATGCAACTATAGAGAAAGGCAACCATCTTTAGGCCACAAAGGTATGTGGACGGTGGTCGAACCTGAGACAAGACAGCATCCCTACCAAGAAGATCCCAACAGCAAAAAAACCACGTGTAGGGTTAAGGCAGAGGATGATAATTATGCCAATGAGGGGAATGTTCATCCTCCGAAAACTCCTCAGTATATTGGTGGAAAGCCTCAGAAAGGAGATATATATAGAGGAAATGTACCATAGGAGAGATGTGAGGGTAAGACGAAGTCAGGGAAACTGGCCATGGGATAAACGGATAGCATTATCAGTGTCTGCTCCCACTCCAGTTGTTGGGAGTTGAGAAAGGGAAGATTGTTCTGATGATAAGCTAATGTATAATGATCAGAAGATCGTGGTGAACAAAGCATGTTGGCACCAGCCTTTAATTGAGAAATGAAATGCTCAGCAGGTACCCTGATATTGGGAGAAAGAAGGAAGACAAGGAAGGGACAGGATCATATAAAATTGGGAAAACAGATAAAATGTAACAAACTTGAAAAATCATGTCCAACAAGGCTGAGGGAGTCCTAGATGATTCCTCGAGAGAGACACGGGACTACACAGCATAGGCAGGAAATGGATAAATGCTGTTAAAATCCTCCTTGTCATGAACAGGTCCATCACATACAGGAGGAGCCTGTACATTGTCAAGAGAAGAGGGCCGACTCATGTAAAGATCAATCTCCCAATTATTGATGGCCAAAAAAGCCCCAGCTTAGACCCCCTGACTTGAAACACTCGAAGTAGTATGTACAAACAGAAGCTGAAGTTGTGACATGAAATTCTGAATTCATGATTGACTGTGAAGAAGCTGAAGAAGTAGGAAAAAAGATAAACACCAAGGTAAATTGACTTGGCCAAGTACTCCAGTGAACATACTGTAGAAAAATTAATAGAAACTGTAAAGCACTATTTCCCAAAAAGGAAAGAAATTATTGCATAAAATCAGCACAATTTCAAAACGACCTAACGAGAAGTGATGGTTAAATAGAATCAAATACAGGGAGTCACATGCATCAGGAGGGTGCGTTGCACTCCTACTGGTGGAAGGTTGTCACGTGATGATTTACATGTGAAGACGCAGTGAACCATGTTGATCGTGGGGTAAGTAGGAGTTTCAAGGCTTGTGAAATACGAAATAAATTTTGCATATAAAGGTCAGCACTGAATGAGAACAGCTATTACGTGAGAAGAGGAAAGGAACTGTATCAGAAACTGCTTTTATTGTTACACTCCATTCACAGGCTTCCTCAGCACAGGACCTTTTTTTCACCCAAAACATATTATAAACGTTAAAAGTATTTTGTGTGATATCTTTGTAATTTTACATAACGCGTAGAAATAAATATTCATAAATTCATCAGAAAACACAAGTAATTTTTTTTTTGATTCAACCAATCTTTTGCCATAAAGCTTGTGAACAAAAAAAGTGCTTCTGACAGAGCTTTTAATCATGTCTTTAACGGCAATGTGTTATCTATTGTACTAAATGATCTACAATGACCAGTAAAATGCATAAATGGCTGAATGTATAGGCACTTTCCCATTTCAAAACAGTATAATGTTAGCTAGATGGTGTTGAAATATGTATGCTCCTGATATTTCTAGAACCATTGTTTAATGTGTGGTTTAAACAGACTGGAAAGTTATGTATTGAAATTAGTGTTTAACTGTATTCATATTATCTCTCTTTATGTCTTTGTGCAGAGTATTGATTTTTTATTTATACATTTAACCAAACTTTATTAACTTGAAACCAAATCAGAAGTCACAGAACTTTAACTCACATCAGTTTAACCCTATCACCATGGGTATCCTTTACTGAGCATGACACAAGGTTTTAGTGTCTTACATTCAAAATTTTATTAAACTACTTTTTATGTTATACCAATTAGAATAGCATAAAATCTTAGCTAATAAACCATATTTTAATAGTATATAAATTTCAAGTTCTTACTTCTACAAGGCAATATTAAAAAAAATCCTAAGTTTCTCATGGTGTGACACACGTGACACATTTTCTCTAGGCATCTTGTCTCTTCTGTTTTATCCAACACCCCTTGGAAAAGTATGAAATTAAATGTAAATTACTCACTATAAAATCATCATTGCTCCGACAAACCATATTTTTATAGCCTTCAATTTTGTTTGGTTACAGAGCTACTAAATAGAATATCAAACCTCTCCTGCCACACCCACCTTTCGCATCCTCTCTTTCAAGATTTGTTAATAGTTCTCTCTTATGTTTAATTATATATTACCTATAACTAATAGAAAGTCAAGGTTTTCATTGATCAAATGACATATTGTATATCATTATGTTCTGAATGGTTAAATGTCAATTTCACTCAGATTACCAACAATTTTCTTGTGAGAAAGTTAATGACTAGCTTGGATAAAACGACTCCTGTCACATAGTTAGAAGGCCAGAAAAATTTTAAGAGGCAAGGGAATTTGTCTACTTTTTGCATGTTATTAGTTTACTATCATTAGTATATAATAATTAGAGTTAACTCTCTTTGACGATTGACAGTAAGAAGAAAAAAGAAGATTGGTTAAGTATTTTATTTCTTGTTTTTCATGTTTATTGTTTAAGTATAATTATAAAAGTAACTAAAATATAAAAATAAGGATCCTTTCAGGTTAGTTAAGATTAGATTAGGTAAAATAAGTAATAATAATATTGTAATAAAAATCTTCATGAGGCACACACGCGAGCAGCTTGTAGTAGCTCGTGGATAATGTAATTTGTTAGCATAACGTGAGCTGCACATTCTCCGAGTGATTTACAACTTAAAATGATGCAGATGGTAGTTAAAACATGGTTCAAATGGCAATAAAACAATAAAAATGTAATTATAAATAGATGTATACTGTTACAAATTTAGAGTTACTTAGGATAAACAAATGTAGTTTCATATTACAATTTGAAGTCATTCTAGAAAGAAAAAAAGGGGAAATTTAGGTTTATTTAGATTTTTGTTTTGAGGTTAGAGAAAATAACATATAAACTATAAAGTTTTACTGAAAAAATGTTTAAAATGCATTTAGGAGGTTTTAGGGATTACACAATGGAAATTTGAGATTTTTGAAATGAGGAAACGCATTTTTAATTTTAACATGAAAATTATTTTGCACATGAACTATTCAAAACAAATACTCAATATATTCTTGGACAAATATTTATTTTATTAAAAATACTTCACTAAAAAAATATGATTTTTGATATGTGAAAGACTTATAATATTAACAGAAAGGCTACCAAATTTTGTGAAGATATACACACTATATTGAAAGTTAGAAGTATTAAATCTATAAAGACTTTAAATGAATACAAAGAGGTCACATGGTCAGTCAAATTGACTGAGTCCCTGTAGAGAGAGTTAATTCTTTGAATGGTGAAATCAATTCGGTATCAATTTTTAACAATAAGTTTTTAGTTTAGAGATTTTTTATAGCTATTATAAATGTTTTGGGATGAAACAAAATATCATGTTAGATATTTTATATAATGAATCATCAAAAAGAAAATGCTGTTAGGAATAAATATATTATTAAAATTTATTTACTTACTAAAGCATCAATCAGAGTGGCTGCACCCTCTTGGCTCTCATGAAGTGCATCAACATCTGTAATTTCTTGAATGAGATCTACCACAGCTATAGTAATATCTGAATTCAAACACAAATCAATACTGGTCAATCTTAAACATGTATAAAACCAAGTGTTATATCTATATTTTCATACTTTCTGAAGATCTGATACAGATAAACTAATACCTATATTCAAAAATAAAAATAAAACTTTTTTCTTAATTAATTACAGCTCTAATGATGGTTGAATTTAACAATAACAAACAAAAATTTTTTGCTCTATATGTTTCAAATAACTTTTTTATATGTTATCATACACACTAGTTTTAGAACAGCGTACACGTGATGTACCTGAGTTTTCATGATTCAAAAGGCCAAGTAAACTAGGAACTGCATTTAGTTCAACTACTATATGATAGAGATCTGGTTGAGTGGCAATAACATGCATCTCATGAAGGACATCATTCAACTCAATCTCAGAGTCCATAAATCTAGAAGCAAAATAGAAAAACAAACCATCTGATAATTTAGTCAGCACACAAAACTTTTTTTTTTTCACAAAATTCTTTTATTATCTAAATTTCTCACAAACATTGTTGATTATACAATGGAAATTTACAAGAGAACAAAGCTAGCAGAAATATGGTTGTTGTTGGTTTTTTAATAAAAAAGATCTACATAAATTCAGACATATTACCAAGAAATGATAGAGTAAAATTACATTTTTTTACAGATTTGTTAACTGTTTTTATGTATAAATATCATTAAATTAAAATAAATTACCTCAACATGCTGAGTAAGATGAACTGAGTTGTGCTCAATGAGAGGAAATGATAACCAAATGAAGTTTATATGTTTTTGGGAAAGTGTATATAAACACATTTACACCAAATAGGCCCTGTGCAGTCTGCCCAGGCAAAAACATCGAGGTGAAGTGCTTTGGATATATAATATTATGGCCAAGTGAGGTCCAGCTGGGTATAAACATCCACTGAAAGCATGTTGCATATGATACAGAAATCAACAAGTGCAGTATGGTTGGGCAAAACCCTGGGGGAAGCACCTTGGATATATAGGATTAGTCCAAGTGCAGTCTGCCCGGGCAAAAACATCCAGGGGCAATGCCTTGAGATTCTATAGAGTAAGTTAAGTGCAGTCCAACCAGACGAAAACATCCACTGGAAGTGCCTTGCATAAGAATGTAAATTATGATCAACAAGTGATGTCAACCCAGGCAAAACATTCAGGAGAAGCATCTTGGATCCAGAATAGTATGTTATTATCTATACAATAATTATAATGATGACAGCCCTCATCTCACTGAGTGGGTAATTATAAGTTATGAGTTTGATTTCTTTCATTGTACAACCCCACTAAGGAGGGCTGTGAAGCAGGTTGGTAAGGACTCTTGTGCTCCACTAGAAGAAAAAAAGAGGGGAGAATATGAGTTGGGGAGTCCAGAGGAACAATACACTGGAGACTGAGCATTTGGTGTCTGCAATTCCCTATTTTGAAAAGCAGAAAGACCCAGATAGCAAGAATCACGGGTCAGTGGGGATGGGCAAAAATCCACATCTGCTTTACTTATGAAGTCCATGTGTGACAATCCTTTATATGAAATACATTGATAATAAAAGTTTGATATATTAGAAACATATATACATATAATATACAGATTTAGTGCAAAGTTGTAATATTCAGCATACAGGACCAGGCAACAGCCGCCAATAAGTGGGACCTGAAATATGATGTATATCAACTGAAAAAGATACAAAATAATAACAGGTTAACTTACCCCAGTCAAAGGGGAACAGACATGTGGAGAATCGCCACAGGAGGAAGATGATACCTGATCAAGGAAAACAGCACAGGCAAATCATGCAGATAATGTGCTACAAATGTATTGGGAGTTATCCACATACCCACTTGAATGATCTCCACCAAAGGTCGATGGATTTGAGCAGCTGAGGACAAAGTTAAGTAACGGAGTTGGTGCGATGAAACATTGTGCAGCTGGTGACCTTCCATGGACAAGTCAGAATACGTTAGCCGTATGAGTTGCCGAACCCAACCATTAAGGGTAACAGGAGATAGGCCCTAGGAAACAGATGGATTCCAAGAAATAAATAGGCAAGAATGGGAGCCTTGAAAGGAGGTGGTACAAAACACATAACAATGCAGGGAAAGCACAGGACAGAGAAGACAAACCACATCCGAACGTGAGTACAGGTGGGGAACAGACAGTAAAGAAATGGGAGAAAAGGAGGCAGAATAACCATGACGGGCAGCAGCTGTCTCAAGAAGGAAGGCTCCATCTGGATAAAAGATAACATAAGACGAATGGTAAAGGATACGGGAAACATTAATGGCATAAACATCAGAATCATGACAATCACATGTAATAAGAAGAAGGAAATAGGCCTTAAGGGAAAGCTGATACAAGAAACACATAGCAATGGGTTCAAACGGAAAACCAGACAGGGCATGAAGAACAACGAGATCCCAATCTGGAAGAACAAAAGGATGTGGATGATGAACAAGATGAATGGAACGGAAAAGGAGGGAAATAATCGGGAAGGAAAAAGCTTTACGAAATTTGTTTGACAGAGTAGCCAGATAACTAGCAACCATTGACAAGGACAAACCCTAATCAAAGAACCAGGTAAAGAATTGGGACAGATGAAGGACAGAAGCCACTGCAAAAGGACCACAGTCTGAATGTAGACCAATGTCTCTGGTACATAGACAATGAAGACAGAATGGTCCAAGTAAAGAAAGATGCTACATGAGGAGTGAGTCCCTCAGTTCATGCAAGGGACCAGAAAAAGGCCATGAGTAAAGATGGAATTTGGTAAAGTGTGGATGAGATACGTCTGATCGTGGTTGTCAGAGGAGCAACCTGGACAAAGGTAAGGGCAGGAGCTGCTGCTCCAGCAAGGACCAGAGCAAAGAGAACCACATATGAGCCGGCCAATACAGAGCAACTAGCAAAACACAAAAAAGTGGTCTCGACGACAGAAATGACCCTAGAGATTAGTATGAGAGGAGGGTAGGCATATAGATGCAGACTCTCTAATCTTGACTGAACGTATCCTCCCCCAGATCCGAGGGGTGTGGAACTGGAGACCAAAATGAAGGTAGTTTGGCATTCCAAGGCGAGAACACACCCACCGAAATACTTGACGATAAAGTGACCAATCTGTAGATAGAACTTTGTTGGTACAAGACAAGTGGTCGGCCACCAGATTCCTAATTTCGCAAATAATGATATGCAAAGATGGTTAAATTGTAATCGTGGGTCCAGTACAGAAGGTTGAGTGTCTGAAAACACAGAGACCAGGATTTGTTTCACCCTCGTTTGGTGATATAGCTGATAACGGAGAACTGTCAGAATGAACTATCACTACCTGCTCTCTGAGTGGGAGGAAATGAGACATAGCCCGACAAACAGCCAAACGCTCGAAGAGGTTGATATGGAATGTACTTTCCATGACTGATCACTGCCAAGAAAATTACCTGTATTTGAGGGAAGATCCCCAATGTACCATGGAAGCATCTGTGAACAGGTGAGCATTGGGACAAGGCGGAGGAATAGGAACCCTCCATATGGTCATTTCCCTTTTGAGCCACCATGCAAGGATGGCCCTGATTCCAGGAGGGAGGGCAATACGATGATCCAAGAGATCATGGGAGAAATTCAACTGGTCGATAAACATCTATTGAAGGGAATACATGTGCACTTGACCCAAGGGAATGAATGAGAGCTGCTTCCAAACAACCCAAGGTCACCAAAAGAGATAGAACCTTACATGCAGTGAGAGAAGGCAAATGTACTGCCTTCATGACTGCCCTCTCCATAACTCTGAGCTGAAGATAGGAAATAAAAAGAACTTCTAAATGAATAAGATATTGTGAAGGGGTTAGAAGGGACTTCTCTAACTTGATAAAAAACCCCACCCAAGCAGCTTCTTAAAGAAGTAATTGGGTGGGAGATACTGATTGGACCTGGGAACAGGCAAGCAGAAACCAGATGAGTCCAAAGACCTAGTGAGTGAAGATGATTAGCAAATGAGCAAACCACTTGGCAGAATGCATAAGGAGCTGGAGCCAGACCAAACTACAGTGCACAGAACTGAAAGACACAGCCCTCGTGGAAGAACCAAAGAAAATGACCCTGGAACTAGGGGAATATGAAAATAGGCATTAGTCACATAGAACTTGATCATCCAGACTCCTGGGACAGATCTATGACATCAATGGTTTCATCCAATGGAATGTTTGTGAATAAAGAACTTGTTGGATGAGACCATTGACATTTGTTTGGAAAAACTCTTTCAAGAGGAGTCTCTTGTTCATGGCTTAACTAAGGAACAATTTAGATCTTTAATTATCCATTCTGTGAAGAACAACCATATTGTATTTAATGGAAAACTATATGACCAATTTTAAGGCATAGCTATGGGATCCCCACTGGGACCAACTCTAGCTAGTTGAACAATTGCCCTCAAAAACTTAAACCAATATTTTACAAATGTTACATTCATTACACTTTCATCATTTTTCAATCAAAGGATGAAATTTAACAGTTTCTTAAGTATTTCAACATTCATCTATACAGTTTACCCAAGAAACTGAAGAAAAGAATACTTTGCCTTTTTTAGATGTTCTGATTACTCAAGATGCTTAAAGTTTTTTAATGTCAATATATCAAAAGAAAACGTTGAAGGGACAGCTTACCCAGTTTGATAGTTTCATTCTTGTAGAATATCAGATCAATCTACTAACATGTCTACTGACTCGAGCTTTAAAATATGTTCAAATTATTTCATTTTACACTCTGAGATTGGTTTTCTTCAGGAAATATTATTGTGTAATGGATACCCTAAGAAAATTATTGAAAGCCTAACCAGGATATTTCTGACCAAAAGATTTTAAAATGTTCACAGTTGTTAAATGTACAGTTTCATTGACCATCCTCTACCTAGAACAATGAAGTGTCATACTTTCTAAACAACTTGGATCTTTAATAAGGAAGTTCTACCCACAAGTCAAACTTAACATCATTTCTAAACCATCCTTTAGGTTAAAACATCTCTTTAACATAAAGGATCATCTACCTATCTCTCTTCACTTCTGGATTATAGATAAATACACATGTGGTGACTGCAAGGCTGCCTATATTGGGAAAACTAAACATTTACAGTTTGCATCTACAAGCACATGGGAGTGTCACTAAAGTCATTTTAAGTTCATGATAAACATTGTGATGTACAATATTACACTGCAAGATGTTTAAAGTTAATTCATGTTAAACAAAAACATACATTATTACATGTATTGAATATATTTATGCACAGAAACTGATTTATTTCTAATACAGAGAGCTGGAAAAAACTTTCCATAACTTCTGCTTCTTACATACTCCAATTAACTTACTTTTCAGGCATATCTGGAAACTTTATCCGAAGTTCTTGATTTTTCAACACTCTTTTCTCAAATGACAAAATTAACTTTTTCAGAGCTGTCTCATCCAGTGTTTCAGTCTATAAAGAGACAAAAAAACTTAATTCCAATACTTTGCTTCAAAAGTGTAATTGTTCAAAGCTGCTTTTAATGACTATGATAAGAGCTTGTATACACACACACACACACACACATATGTTACAAATTTCCAGCATTTACCAATTACCTTTCAGACATGTGTAGAATACATTAGAAGAATAAGGTATACTTAATATAAAAAAAGAAAATATATCACCACAGTAGTTATTCTGAGTATAAGCCATTTTTGGGAATATTCTTAAAGGACAAATAAATCAATATTTGATGTAAAAAAGGTTGATTCAAAAATTATAGCAAATTGAGTAGTTCACATTAAGCAGTAATTCCAAGTCCAAGAGTAAACTCAACAGAGTCAGTATGTTTCATAATTTTAGAAAGATCAATATCTTGTATTCAAAGCTATATCTAGCATTTTCAACACAAGGGTACACAAATTTAGTACTTCAAAACCATAGATACACCAAACAGTATACAGAAAGTTTTGATAAAGTATAAATCAATATCTACATTAAAAACATTACTTATAACCAACACATTAAAATAGCCAAAGATTAGTTTGTGTTAAAGATGGGCAATTTAATCCATTAACTGATATAATCAATTATCTATCAAGCAGCAATTACAGTGATTAGTGTCTCATAAACTAAGAAATCAATGTCAAAATAACAATCAACTAAATGACATTAGGCTTCCAAATTATCTAAGTTTTTGATTATTCCAGCTATACATGTAATTAAAATATTGCCAATATTTATTTGTTTGTATTGGTATTTGAGAGGTTTGGGTTTGTTTCCCTTTGTCACTAAATTTGCTCACCCTGCCTTTGTTGTTTCAAAGCTACTAAGGCCATCTGTCACTAATTTTGAGTTGCTGACTAGAGGGAAGGCAACTTGCTTACAGTACCCATCACCAACACACTGTGGCTACTGAAGTGATAAATAATGTAAATTTACTTCTTTATATTTATCGTTATGTTTCTAGTTCATAATTGAATAACTGTATTCTTTAATGTTCTATAAGCAGGTGTGGATCTGGGAAGTGACCCAGACCCCCCCCCCCTCAAATTCTTTTTTTATTCTTCTGAAATTAATAAATATATGAGTACTCTGGATCACCCTTTTTTTTCTCCAGGAATTAATAATAATTATATTGTTTTCATTTTGTATAAGTAAGTATGGTTATACTGGAGGGATCCAGGGGGACTAACCCTCTTTCCATATATGTTTTTTCAGAAATTAATATCTGCATTATTTCATGTTGTCTAAATAGGTGCATATGTAGTGGAGTCCAATCCCACCTCCCTTCATATCAGAAATTAGTAAAATAAAAACGTTCTGGGGTTCTTACACTAACATATAGTATCAAAAAAAAGAAGAAACATTAGCTACCAGTGTTTTTATTTGATTGGGCTATTAATTACCATAAAAGATTTTTCTGTTGCTTTCTGAAATCAACACAGCTGGAGTCTACAGCAATCCATTTAAAGTGTAACTGAATGTCTTCAGCCCCTACACTTGAACAGAGAATTTTCAACATTGCGCTGCTGCTACCCAACACAAATATTTGACAGTTTTAAGAATGGGTTTTAAAAGTATAAGCTATCAATAAGATTAGAGATGTTGTCCTTTAGTTTTATGTTCAATCTGATAGGTCCTTAAATAAAAAAAAGGTAATTTGAATTTTTCTGCATAGTGAAGGAACTGCTTATTTTGTAATTTTGGCTAGGACATTCTGTTGGACATTTATATATTTTAAGCAGTAAAATATTTGTTCACACTGTGTATAAATTTTATAATAAAAAATATGAAACTTTGGATTTAAAATAAAGTTATAAAAAAAATGAAGAAATATTCTTAATACAATTCAGCCAATTTGAAATATTTTGAAAATCTTTATTTTACAATCAAATTAGTATGCACCGAAAATATACATTTCTTAAAAAATAAGAATTACATATTTCTATTGTTCTAAACAACTGGTGTTTTGTAAAACATGGCACTAGTTTTACTTGTGTGAACAATAGACACAAACACCTTCAGACAATAATTGGCTATTTTTAAGCTAATACAAACATATAAACATAAATTAGCAAATTTTCATACCTTGGTTTTTTTCCAGACACACTAATAATTTGTCTGAACTTCAAAATATTTGTTTTTATTGAAGTTAATATTATTTAGGACAACTGCAGCTCTTATAATATAGATTCTTTATAAAATTGACCTTTCATTGTTTAGTAGTTAAAGTTCTTGTGAGAAAGATGTTTTTCATATTGTTATCTGCATCTAAAATAAGTGAAACAGCTAGTGGTATGACTGTACAAGTTAAAACTTTAAAACAAATTTTGAAAGCAGGAATCCTATTTACTAATGCTACAATGTTTTTCTCAATATGGATAAATACTATATCTACTTAAGTTTGAATAAAAAGTTTGAAAGTTTGTTATTAACTATTGTCATATCAATCATATTACTAGAAATAAACACAAGCTTTGAAATCATTGGACTATAAACTGACTGAGCTAATTGTTTACAGAATATATTAATGCTATTTTAACTTTGCCTGACTTATTTAATTTACTTTATGATTACATAATCAATATAGATTAATTCAAAATACTATATTATTATAGTAGAAGTTTCTTCCTTCACATAAAAAATAATGGAAATTTTGTTACAGTATTACACAGTTAACGTTTAAAAACCATAACCATCATTATAAAAATGAAACATTACTGCAACCAGTGTGGATAAATTAAACATTCTTATTATTTGTTAGCAATAACACTATATTATCTAAATACACTTTTTAGTTTTATTCTTATTCATTCTCTAAAGGTTTTCAAACTTTGTAAGATAAAGTTATATCAAAATAAATAAATATTATTATCATTTTTATGTTTTTTGGCTTCAACTTTAGGCTACTTAAGGAATATAAAAAAAAAATACTGGATTTTTATTTTAGCTAAATTCTCATTTACCTAATGAACAAAATTAGTTACAGTTACAAAGCATTTGAGTAACTGTATAGATATAGATGCAACACTTAAGGCGAATAAACATCTAAAATAATAATGAATTGTCTGTAGCAACAAGTATGGAAATGTGTACACAGTATGTTGCAACAGGTGAGTGATAAGTGAATAAATCTTTTACTGTTTCTAAATGTTAAACATTGCAAACTTTAGGATCAAAAAGTAACTTAATTCTAAATAACTGTTCTTGAAGTCTTAAGATAGGGTTTCCTCTGGCTTATAATATTTTTTTTGCTACTTGATAAAATTTAAGATACAAATTTTGAAGTCAATTTTATAAATTAATTCTAACTATATTTCAACAATCTTAACTCAGAAATATTTAATAACTGATATTTTGCCATTTTACAACATTTATTTTGTGTAGTTCAGGAAGAAGAAAAAAGGTTCATATTTTAATTTCTGAACAGCTGCAAAAAGTTTTGCCTGTAATCAAAACAACTTGCTTGTTGATTTTCTTTAGAAATTTCCCACCCATCCCAAAGAATAACCATTTTTGCTTAGAACCTATTAACCCTTGAGAATATATTATCTATTTCTTGATTTTTCATGTATTTCCTTTAGATTTTGTACAAGTCTTGTTGAAACCTTGCTATGATACCACATTATTTACTACTCAAACTCAAGTTTGATAAAAGCTATAAATAAAACTTAAATATGATTGTAAAGAGCAAGGATTAGACTCTCATAATAGTAAATATACAGGTTTAAGAGTTTGTTTATAGTTTCTGTAAACATTCCTTTCAATTTTTGTTTGTTTGTGAATTTTGAATGTATTTGTATATTAAGTTTATATTTGTTTGAAAGCTACAGAATGTTCTTCAATGAGAAGACATCAAATAAAATCAGGCAAAGTTAAAAGACAGGTTGAATGAGTAGCAAAGCAAATTTTATTACAAGTTTAAAGCAGTAACAAATGCACAATTCATTTATCTAGACACAGAAACATACACAGTATGAAACAAAGAAGTCATGTGTTTGAAGATTACTTAAGGCTTGATAAAGGTATCTTGTTGATGTTAGGTTCTTAATATAAAATCAGTTTTTACTTTTTTTATAGATAGATATACTGATTTTTTAAACTGAAATGTTTGTAAACAATAGATTTTTTTACTATGTTCGCCAAACAAAATTAATTTGTCATATTATCAGATAAGGTAAGTTTACTGTTTAGTGAGTACAGACAGGAGGTGAGTGCAAAATAGTTCGATGACTCAAATCTTTATAAAAAAAAAATTATGTTTATCTTATTCAAACAATGTACATAAATATATTGGCTAAATTGCTATTTAATTACAATCACAATATGCATTAAATAAAAACAAAACATTATTACCCTTAACAGTGGTAGTAAAACATATTTTCATTATTTAATTACCAATTCATTTGATTTACAGAACGATCAGTGGGGAATTACTGCATAATTTAAGAAAAAACATAATGGCAACAACATGGTGGTATTTAGTCAATATTAATAATACATTCTCCAAGTTGGAAATGTCCAGACGTCTTCCATATGAAACCAAAAATACTTTGAAAAATTACTTGAAAAATCAAAATACTGTGAATGAAAGTAAGAATAAACATATTAAAATACTGCAGTGATTAAGAAAGTTAGAATATTAGCACTCATACACACACACACAATTATTTTTTGTTTTATTTTTGCTTTTAAAGAAGTGGATGCACTAATGGTTTAATAAGCCTGTCAATTAGTCAATTAGGAAATACCACTAACTGCTCAGCTCTATATGGTGTATTATTCTTTTTAATATTATTTTTAGCTATTCATACTCTTTCAACTTAAGGATATGCATGTACATGTAACCATGGCTGAAGGTTTAACTAACTTGTATGATGTAAACAGGTGAGTGTGGACAATAATTACTTGTAAACAGCTTTAGTCATTGTTTTGATTTCTTAGGAGGCCTTACTTTTTTATGAAGACCAAAACATCATCCAAAAACCATCCACAAGTAATTCCTGTTCATGCAAGGTTGCATGAGAATTTTTTCTCTTCCACTAATATGCATAATTCAACATAAATAACAAAATTTAATTAACTATTCAAGTATATGAAGATGCCATTTTTACAAACAATGATTTATTACATTGGGTTTCAGTTCTGAATCACTTAATATCAATATTACTCTGATTAAATGAAATTGTTTATTTTATATGTTTGACAAACTTTTGTAATTACCTCTAAATCTTCATCATCTGGAATCTGCTTACTTAAAATTACTTTTTCAACATCCACACTCTGAGGAATTCCTGTAATCAATAAGAACAAGTATATAGATATTTACAATTAAACGTTTATCTAGTATTGGACACTTTGGATGCAAGCCTTTAAGATTTCCATTTTTAAAATTAATTTCAAACAGGAACTTACCTCTAAAATACTAAAAGCTTTTCTCTGTTGAGTTGCTTTCATTAAGTCAACAACAACATGCCTTTAGGTTCTGAATGTTCTTGACACAATTCACAGCATGTAACAACTTATTCAGAGTTTTCCACTCTTTCATCTGACATATTGAGCATGCATCTGGAGAACATATATAAGCTCTTCTGTCCCACCGTATCCCAGAATTCTTTGTTTGCATTGGTGTTCATATAATATATTCCTTCCACTCGTGGGGAGGCAGGTGGGGATGTACTTCAGAGGTAAGTACCTGTTTGAAAATCATTTTAATTTTTAAAATTAAAAATTCAATTCAGGTAGACTTACCTCTGAAATACTAAAGGTCAAAATACCCTCACTGAAATCCTATTACAACAAACAAATTAAGTGGTCAAACTGAGATTGAGTAGAATACAGAATAATAGTAAAGGTCAATTGAATGGATTCATGGGCAATTAAGAGGGCAGACAAGCCTGAAGGAAACTAGACCAAAGTCAAGACACTCAGAAAGTCATTGTTCTCAGCAGAGTACTTATTCATCCTGTACACTTATTAATAAAATATACATATGTGTCATATATGAATATAAACTATTGGATTTTGTCAGTCTAGTACACGTATTCAGCTTGGGCAGTGTCATATATGAATATAAACTACTGGATTTTGTCAGTCTAGTACACGTATTCAGCTTGGGCAGAATACCACTGTGTTTCTGTTTTATGTGTGATATAATAAGGATTGCTCATTTCATATTTCACATTATCACCAGTCTCTTTGTTTCATGAATTCACGTGAATCAGTTACCCAGAATAGTAGCTTCACTTCATAATTAGTGTCTTAATCAAAATTATACTTTTCCTAAACTGAAAATGTATTTCCAATAGATACTTACCTCTTCTCACATAATAGTTTATCTATGCCAGCAGAACACCACCACCCTACTCTCAACTGAATGGTTTCATTATTGTTTGTATTATATATAACCATCACATTCAGGAGGATGCCTCCATAGTCCACCACCCCAGTGGCTTGAAATTGGAAAGTGGTAAGGACTCCCATACTCTACTGGAAGAAAAATGGAGGAGAAAATTTGGTGGAGAGCCCAGAGGAACATCCACACCAGAGACAGTGCAATGGGTGACCACAAAACCTTATTTTGAAAAGAAGACCAAACCTGATTTATTCAATCTAAGGAATAGCAAGAATGGGCAGTTATCCCCTTCTGTTTACCCATGAAGTCCATAGGTTAATACAGTCTGGAATGGGCATATTTATGAAGCAAAAATATAGTGAGGAATAACTTGAGCAATCTTGTGGAACACTCCGTCTCTAGTTTATGCAACTGTAATGAACAGTGCGCATTTTGTGGCCATGGAAATTATGAAAGTGAAATCAACATAGCCATACAGTGCAGGTTTTAGTACAATTTTAAGTGATTGAAGTATATCTGGACAGGCACCACTCACCACAGAGAGGGATTGTGGTCAAAATATGGGTCAGGCCCCTAAAAAATAAGATATATAACAAAAGAAAGAAAACTTACCCAGTTATAGTCTCACCGAAGAGTGAAGAATGGCAACAGGTGGACAACGGTACCCTGACAAGGAAGAAACAGCTACCCAAAGCAGAAATGGGAGATGAACATATGAGGTTTAGTCCCAGTGCTTAAAAGACAAAGTACCTTCAAGGGACGACAGGGTTGATATGCAGGGAAAAGGGAAGATGCTTGATCAGAGTGAAGAAACCAGGAATTGATTACAGGAGGAATAAGACAAAAAATAAAAAGCTAATCAAATCACAATTCAAACCCAATGGGTAAGGGAGGAGGAGAAAAAAAAAATCACAGATAAAGGAGTGGTGTAAGGGAATGAAATTGTGGGAAATAGATTCAATGGAAAGAAGCCTTAAAAGCAAGCATGCAACCATAGCATGTACTGGACAGAGAAGGTCATCTGGATCCAACCGAGGATAAAGGTGGAAGATGACAAGAAACGAAAAATTCAAAAAGAATATTCCACATGAGCCCCTAAAGTGTTAGTTAGTAAAACTGATTCAGAAAAAAAAAAAAAAACATATCGAGCCAAAACAGCCAAGAAAACCAGATCCGTCTAGGCCAGAATATATCAATCAGAAAGACTTGACCTGGAGTGACTTGGATGAATAAATCCTCTTGGGAAGAAGACTGATGGAAGTGGAAAACTAAACTGATCAATCTCCCGACGAAGTAAAGCCGATAATTTCCCAATGGAGTACCACTACCTGAAGCCTGTGTAAATGTGCTGATAGAATGTATAAACTCTGAAGTGGTAACTGAGTATTCATGATTCAAAATGAATAACCAAACACAACAGTGTTGGCAGAAAGAAACAAGTTTTTGTAATGTAGTAATAAGTTCCGTAACTGGGTAGAAATATAAAATAATTCCATTTCAGAATAACTCAACAAGCTACAAATATCACTATCGTATAATAAATAGTAAACTTGTTGAGAGAAACTGATACTAAGATATTGGAAAAAAAAAACACTTGAAGAGAGCATAAACTAAACATCACAACACAAACACTGCCAAACAAGAAGTGATATTTCGGTAGAAGTGAATAGTGGGAGTCATGCATCAGGAGAGTGTGTCGCACTCTTATTGGTGAAGGGTTGTCGCATGATGATTTACATGTGAGACCATTTGATTGTAAGGTATGTGGGAGCTCAAAGCTTGTAGCATGTGAAAACATTTTTTTGCATATAGAGGGCAGCAATGAACGAGAATAGCTATTTATGCAAGTGGAGGTAATGTACCGTATCGGAAAACTGCTCTCCCAAGATAGATTTAGAGTTTCCACAACCAGAGAATTTGGATCTGGAATTGGAGACCAGTAGAGTGGAAGAAGATTGCTGTCCAATGTTACAAAGACATCAATTATCAGGCAACCCAAATAATTACATAGCCACAGAAAAGTCAATGGGGAGAACATCTGTGGGGACAAGTTTACAATCCTGAGAAAGAGTGTCAGACAAAATGATCACCACACTAGGAACATGAGAAGCTCAATAGTGAACATGTTGATAATGAAGTCACAAAAGCAGAGACACCACAGCAGAACAAATGTTGTGAGAAGAAGTACTTCACTAATTGTTGTTGTAAACTACCAATGCAGAATTGTTTGTGTGAACTAACACAAAATGTGGTGTGTAAGAGGCAAAACTTGAGACAAGCATGTTAAAATGTCTAAAATCCTAACATTTATATGCAAGCTCCTGATTTGTTTGAAACCACAAAGAGCCGGAGGTAAAGTACAAACATTGGCCTCCAAAGAAGTAGTAAAATTTCCATTTTTGATAAAAACAGTGGAAGGTAACACTGATTTCAGAATTCATAGTGGGCCAATGTAATAGCACAACTAAGAAGAAATTCTGGCTTATGGAGGAAAAGCAGGTATTCTGTATGTTCTCCTAGTACATGTGCAATAAGTCACATGGAAGGTGGAAGAGTTGAGATTTCTGGGAAAGTTGACATATGCTTTGCACTGTATCCAGGACATTAAAAATTTGAAGTTACAAGGTAACTGACAACACAAAATCAACTCAACAAAAATGCTTTTAGTATTTTAGAGGTAAGTCTACCTGATTTGAAAATATTTATTTTTATTTTTTGCAAAAAACAATAAGTTCTTTTATTCTTCATATATTATTTGGAATGCTATTACAAAATATTCTTTGATTAAAAAAAATTTTTTTTGTAATATAAAGATCAGCTTTTCCAAGCAATTTAGTGATTCAGAAAATTATGATAATTCTACCAACATCTTTTATATAAATAATAAACAGTACGATTTTACATCGCAATCAACAAGGATGCCCTTTTTGCATTCTACAATTCCCATACAAACATGATTGAATTAACACCAAAGAAGCTAGAGGTGCTAGAAAAATTACACCCTGAGAATTAGCCAAATCGTAAAAGGGATAATAAAATATAAAATGAAACTGTAATAATACAATTATCAACAACAGTAAAAAAAACAACTAAAGTTATAGTGTACTATATATGGAGTTATTATAAAGCTTGCAATACACATAACTAACAAGGGGTAAATTCTTTTATACTTTATTCAACTGTAAAACATTTTCTTCCAAGACCAGAAGCATTACAATTTACTCCTGCTGAGATAAATCTATTTAAATAAAGTTAACAATTTAAATTTTTTTCAAACTTAAACAAAATACAAACATAAGGATTGTCAACTTCAAAGACTTACTTTAACAATGGATTTTTACCTATTTTTTGCTACCTTCTCTCAACCTTAGTATTTTCCAATCATAAATAAATTTTATTTTCTTAACATCTTATATTGTTGGTTTTAACCATTTTGATTTCCTTAGTCATAAGAAATGAGCTTTTATGCTGAAGACAATTTTTTTGATATAAATATGTTTAAATTATAAATACAAATTTACCAACCTTTATTAAACTTTATCCATTTATAACATTATCCTATTCCTAACCCTCAATAACTCGTGTAATTTCAAAAAGTCTGTTGCCTTGATATTAAGGAAAACTACAGTCATCCATCCAATCTACATATGGTCTTTATATTTTATTGAAGGCAAATACATTAAATACACCAAAAGAAACAATTGTGAGGCTATGAAGCATCATTTCCTAAAACATAGGTGCTTATTATACATGTATATTAATACTTGAAGCAGCTTCACATCAAACAGTAAGCAGTTCAGTGATGTGTGTACTCTTTGTAACATCACTAACACAAAATATTTACATCAACTTCACACACACACACACACACACAAAACAAACAACTAGTAAATGCCAAATACATTTTTCTTTAAGGCCACATAATTTCAGAAGCTTTTGTAAAATAATAGAAACCGTTTAAGTTAACTTTTTTTTATTAAAAAACATTGTAGGTTATAAAATGAAACAATGAGGCCAGACTAAAGCCAGGCAACAATAATCTCAACCTTTTCCCCAGTATATTTCCTAACAGTTTACCAACCAAAGGCTGTGTTCACCAAAACTTTAACGAACCTAAATTCTAATGAACAAACTATTACATTCATTTCTAATTCTGTTATTATACTGTTGCGTCATCGAGTCACATGACTACTGTGACGCAACGTT